GCCTGGGTGGCTCAGTCGGTTTGGCCTCTGCCTTCAGCTCAGGTCATGATCTCAGGGTCCTGGAATCGAGCCCCACATTGGGCCCTCCTGCTCAGCAGAGAGCCTGCTTCCCCTCTCCCTCTGCCTGCTTCTCTGCCTACTTGTGCTCTCTCTGTGTGTCAAATAAAGAAATAAAATCTTTAAAAAAGTAAATAAATAAAAATAAAGGGAACAAAAGGAAGGTCTGGATCTTCCCACTGATAGAATAAAAGAGTCATCTAACATACACAGCCACTATGACAAAATTCATGGCCCTCTACCTACTGGAGGGATGATGATTTTTAAAACTGGGTTTTATTAAAGGTTTCCTTAATGTGTGTGCCAGGCACTACACAAAACATGGCCATGTGCCTCCCCTCATTTAACCTTAACAGCTGTAGCGTGCAGCAGGCAATATTACAATCCTCACATCACAGATGAGGACTCTGCGGCTGAGGTGCATTAAGTAACTTACAGTGAGATTGGAATGTGGATGGTGAGAATAGAGAGAAAGAAAGAACAAACAAATGAGAAGCCTTCCATGCCCTAGAGGTTGTGGAACAAGGAGACAGGGTCCTGGGAGCTTACACAGGGCAAATCAGGGGCTGGGAGGGCCTACTGTATGGTTTCTAGTCTTCCTCTTTTCCTTTCCAACACAGAGCAACGCCAAACACCAGGAGAGAGGGGGGCCAGACTCACAATCTCTCCAGCTCCGTAACTCCAACGCAGAAGGGAACCCCCCTCCACTGTCCATCTCACCAAAATTCTCCCACAACGTCCACAGCCTGTTACACCCACCTCCCTGACAGGGGCTCAGAATATACAAATGCAAAATAAAAGCAAGGATAAAGTTGCATCCTTTGATATCCTTGGTAAAACAGGTAACCAAGATAGGTCAGTCCCGGATATGCTGATCAAGTTCTGGAGGACAAGGTTTGCCCTTGATGTTCTGACTGCATACGCTCTTACTACTTGTGCAAACACTGAAATAATTCTATTTGCCTCACAGACCCTGGGGACCCTCAGCTTTCCTGTGATCAGGCCAAAGAAAGACCAGTGCTTGGTCCTGGTGCAAGAGGGTGTTCTCCAGGATCCTGCTCCCACTCCACCGCCCACCTACTGTCTGTCGTGACTGGTTAGTACCTATGTCAAAGTTTTTGACCACTGCTCTCGGAGCACCCACAGCCACGATGCTGGCAGATAGCCAACACATTATAAAGGGCAGTGCACCTGCTAGGGGACATCTTCCATTCCACATGGTGGTCAGAAAAACAGGATGGGTGATTATGGTGTTTTAACCACTCAAGGGACAAGAGATAATCTCTCCACAATTCCAAATAGCCCCATACTCATCATTTGCACATGTATTATTATGCTTTCTAATGGGCTATTGAGAATCGGTTTTATGAGTTTGCCCATCTTTCTTCTTAAGGAAAGCAGAAAGCAGGGTTCTACAGTGTTTAAGGGAGAGCAGATATTTAAGAGATTTTAAAATTATTTCCAGCATTTATTTTTCCTCTAGACAAGCAGCTGGGGGACGCACCACCCTTGGGGCGGGGGCGGGGGGGAGTAGGGCAGCGGGGATTTCCCAAAGTCAGAGCCCAAAGGAAAAAGTACAGCAGTCTCCCCTACTCAAAGACACACTAGACGGCCTCTCAAAAATCTTCTAGCTTCTTTCCCTTCTTAACAGTCCCACTAGAAGCAGGCGACAAGGCTGCAAATTTTTCACTGCATAGAGGAAATTCAAAAGACACGTATGAATGGGAGTTAAGCCAGCCTAGGCATCAGAGACACTTCATAAAATATGCCATAAAATCTAAAAAATTGTTCATGATTTTGTCATTGAGGTCCTTCTACCTCCTAGATGGAAAGATGACAACTGGATGAATTTCTCAACAAGCAAACATAGAGATTAAATTAAAATCACAAACTATCAAAAATTGACACAAGCTGACAAGATCACAGGAGCTTGCTATCATATGCTTTAAGTTACTTCACAGACCTTATCTCTGTGGTTTCAATGTGTGGTTCCCCCAGACGGCCAGCCTCAGTGGCTCTCAAGATCCTATGGGCCAAGAGGGTTTGCAGAAATGCAGAGTCTCAGGCCCCACCTCAGACCTTTCTGAATCAGAAACTGAGGGTGGGACCCAGCCATCTGAGTGTTACCAAGCCCCCTCTGATGTTTCTTTCTGAGGCATGCCCAAGTGTGAAATGTGCTACTTTATCCTACTGGCTACTCCCAACCACTATATGTAAAATAGGTTAAAAAAAAAAAAAAAAAGAAGAAGAAGAAGATGCATTCTCAAAGTCTTGCACAAGTGGCAGCAAGGATTCAGAAAATTTAGGTGATTAATCTAAAATCACACAGCTGACTGGCAAGAGAACTAGCTGGTAAACTCAAGCCTTTGGACTGAAGATCTAGTTCTCTTTTGTCTTCATCACACACTATCACTAAGATTCAATACAATGAGCCAGGTCACGTAAACTGGCTTGATTTTGGAAGGGCAAATATGAACCAGAATCCATGTTCAGTTGTGAACTTAAGCCACCTGTATCCACCTGAGGAGAATACGGGGGGACCTCAGAAACTCTGGTCTCCTCTTGATTCACAGATCATCATGGAGATAGAGAGCCAAGGAACTTGTAGGAGAGTTCAACATACTCCAGACAACTTGACTCCTGGGTGCAGTCTAGGTTCTCCTCTGTAGAAGATCTGAGGTTCCTGTTCCTTAGTGCCTATGTCCTTCCTGTAGGGTTTCCCAGGAAACTCACTGTTGCAATGCTCAGAGGGAGTGGCTCTCACCTTCTTCAAGCGGTGTCTCACCACTGGCCTCTCCCTTACTCTCACTGCATTACTCCTCATCTCTATATGATCCGTGTTCTCGGTCATTTTCTGTCTCCTCCCCCTATCATGTAAGGTCTGTAACGCAGAGACTCTGTCTACATTTGTCACCACCCCATGAGCTAGGATAGGGCCTGGCATTAGCAGGTAGGGAAAAAAATACCCATGCCATGAATGCATATAATAAAAACCATCTACTGGGATGTATCAAAATGCATTCCACAGAAAAGCCTCATTTTCAAAGTGGACGCTGCCTATCTTCTTCCCAATAAGACATTCTGGACCATTGTTTAAAATCATCTCTGTGGGGGCGCCTGGGTGGCTCAGGAGGTTAAGCCTCTGCCTTCGGCTCAAGTCATGATCTCAGGGTCCTGGGATCAAGCCCCGCATCGGGTTCTTTGCTCAGCAGGGAGCCTGGTTCCCCCCTTTCTCTGCCTGCCTCTCTGCCTACTTGTGATCTCTCTGTCTGTCAAATAAATAAATAAAATCTTAAGAAAAAAATCATCTCTGTGAATAAATCCAAAGCTTATGGTGAAATACCCTTTTAAATCCTGTAAACTCTCTCGTGCGCCTTTCTTGCCCTTACCCTCTTGCTCATCGCATTGGCTCTCTGGTAGAGACTTCTAGATGGGCAGGACGGTTTTGTTGCTGAACTGCATTTTCTTTTTCACTGTTGTTTTTCCTTCACACAAGCAAAGCATTTAATCTGTGTCTGAACTTATTGTTTAGATTCTATTTCATTTACAAAAACATCCGGTTGTTGCAGTGGGACGGAAGAAGAGAAATGTCCTCAGTAAAAGGATGTATGTTTGCATCCTAGCCTACAGCATTTAATAATTGGCATTAGCTTTCAAGGAAGCTGTGGCTCATACTCCAAGTTCCGTTTGCTCTTCCAACTGGACAAAATATAGACACAGACTCACTCAGCTAAGTAATTGGATTCACTACCTGGAATATTTAAATTGTTTTCAGACACTGGAAAATGGCTTAAGAAGATTAAAGAAAAATACCCTGGAGGATAACAGGCTATAATTTACTAGGTGGAAAATCTTTTCAGCAAGAACACCTTATTCTCCTATAATTCCTCCTGTTTAAGAGATGTCTTCGTCATTTGGACCTAAATTTCTCTAGATCCTGACAGCTCAGGTTGACCCCCGTGGGTTGTTCTTATCAAATCTTTTGAATGACACCCAGGACATATAAATTGATACGATAATGTCCTCCATCCGAAGATACCCATGTTTTCAGTAAGATTATTAATATAAGTGTTTGAAGGCGATGGGGGGGTGTCACTTGAAGTTCTGGGGTCCGGGGCTCATGTGAAACCCTGGAGATCCGGGTCTGGGCTAAGCTCTGTCCCACTTGGCAAAAGACGTACATAAATGGTGGGGGAAAGCTTTGCCAGGTCTGTTCCAAGCTGAAGATTCCAGCCAGCTCAATTCCCAAAAAAAAACTAGCCCTCCCCATTTGCCCACAGGCCCACTGAGCACTCCTAGACCCCTCAGTGCTCCCCTTTCTGCCCTCTAGTCCTCCTCAGCTGTGTCCTCACTGGCCCTTCTCAAGGCCCCCTCACTCCCGAGCCAGGCGCTGAAGTTTGGCACCAGCGACCACCTGTCGGCTGGACCGCTGGTTCTCCGCCGCGTGAGCTCCCATAAGAGCGCCAAGAGGGTCTGTAGTCACTGAACAGTTTCGGACTTCGAGGCCGTACCTTCTTGAGAAGGGGCAAAAGAGGTAATGCGGGGGGTGCGTCTGCGGGCGGAGAGGGGCGCGCCTTGGTCACACCCCAGCGCTCTCCAGCTGGTCCCAACTTCACACTTTCCAAACTCTCAGGACCGTCGCCTGACAAAGCCTGTCCCTCCTGCTCCACTGGCCCCAAAGACAGAAGACCCTCTGGGGGCGCCTACCAGACCCGGCCAGGAGGCAACTCCTGAACCCGTGGAGTCCAGGAGCGCGCGCGAAGCCGCTGCTCTCTGCCAGCCTCCTCGGCAGCGGCCACCCCGCGCGCCCGGAGGCCGCCCGGGCCGGATCCCGAGCGCCCATTGCATAACGCGCCCCTCGCCCCACCCCCACGCAAACCGCCCCGCGGCCGGCCCCGTGCCCCCGCCCCGCCGGCACCCCCAGTCCGCAGCCCCCGACTTACATCATCCCACTTGACGAATTTGATGCCCTTCTTGAGGCTGTCGGACACGCACACGGGCTTGAGTTGCAAAGCGTGCACTCCGGGCTGAGCCCCGGCCATCTGGGCTCATCGGGGCTCCGGGGGACCCGGGCGAGCGCGGCAGCGACGGGGCTCGGGGCGCGGGCTCCTTTCTCGGCTCGCGAGGCGCTCGACTCCGCTCCCCCGCCGGCCTCCCCCGGCCTCCCGGCCTCCGCACCTCCTCCGGCGCGGCTCAGCAGGCGGGGCGCGCGGGGGCCAAGCGCCGGGCCATGCCCCGGGCGGGACGCGGGGTCGGGCACCCGCGGTGGCTGCGGAGCCTCGGAGAGCGAAGGGAAGCCGAGCCGGGCTGCCGAGGCTGCCAGCTACCGCCGGGTACTGCTCCTCCTCCGCCGCCGCCTCGAAGCGTACCATTCAGCACATCCTCTATACACAGAGGGAGAGCGCGAGTGACACACGCTCGGCGCCCCCCCCCACCCGCTCCTTCCCCTCCTCCCTCCTCCTCCCGCCCCGCTTCCCCGCCACCCTAGCTGGCTCGGTCCCTCCTTCCCCCGGCGGCTTCCAGCCCAACTTTGCGCGCAGGGTCAGGCGCCGGGAAGCGGGGACGCAGCGGCACCTCCCGGCTCCTGAGCCCCACTGCAGCCAACGCCTGCGCCGCCCGCGCGCCCTCTGAGCATGCCCCATGCCCCGGTTGCAGGGGTGCTCAGGGTGCCCACGAGCCGCGCGTTCCCTGGGGCTTTCCAGGCAACTTGCTCCTGAACCTGGAATGTCTTCGGCTCCAAACTGGCTGGGGAAAGAGAGAGGTCGGGAGGAATCAGAGAAGCGACCCCTGGCTGGAGCTCTCCAGCTCCGGCCACAACCCAGCTCTTTGCAAAGACAATTATTATTTATTGGTAGAGAAGAGAGCAGTTGAGAGGCGGCATGAGAGCTCTTTGGGGAAACCTTGTGGCGCCTGAGAGTTTGCAGCGCGCTGGTCTTGAAGCAGGGGCATGTGGTTAAGTCGTGCTTTTGAGAAAGAAAGCCCATCCTAGGAGAAACAATGGTTTTGTTTCCCATGGAGACAGAAGGCCCCCTCTCCTCTCCACGTGGTATTTGTGTGTGTGTGTGTTTGAGAGACAGAGACAGACAGAGAGGAGACAGAGACAAAGAAGAGAGGTGTCTTACGGATGGAAACTTGCTCATTTAGTAACATGAGTTTAAGAATATCCACATCCAACGAACATTTCTTGTTTCTTAAAAAAGAAAGAGAGAGAGACTCCACCAGAATAGGTAATATTTAAGATTGGTAACACCAATGTTTGAGAGGATATAAAGCAACTGGAACTCTCATCCGTTGCTGGAGAGAGTATAAAATGGTAAAGCCATTTTGGAGCAGTTTCTTATAAAAAGTTAAACACGTACTTATCATAAAACCCAGGACTTTCCCAAGAAAGATGAAAACATATGTTCACACAGACTTGTGTAACAGTGTTCGTGGATTTCTTCATCATAGCCCAAATTGGAAACTACATATGCCAATCGACAGGTTTAAGGGGAAAACAAACAATGGAATGCCCAAACAATGGAATACTATTTAGCAATAAAAAGGAATGGGTGTGTACCACAAGGAAGTGCAAGCTTTAAACCTACTAGATGAAGCTGGATATTATACTTCATGATTCCATTTGGGGAATCCTGGAATAAGGAAATTAGCCTATATTGGCAGAAAACAGGTCATTAGTTGCTTGTGGCCAGGAATGGGCAGGGATTGACAGAGAAGGAGCACCAGGGAACTTTTGGGGGTGTTGGAAATATTCTATATCATGCAGGTACATATTTGTCAAAATTCATAGAACTAAAATGATTATATTTTATCAGAAATAAAATTTATCTCGGGGCGCCTGGGTGGCTCAGTGGGTTAAAGCCTCTGCCTTCGGCTCAGATCATGATCTCAGGGTCCTGGGATTGAGCCCCACATCGGGCTCTCTGCTCAGCAGGGAGCCTGCTTCCTCCTCTCTCTGTCTCTCTGCCTACTTGTAATCTCTGTCTGTCAAATAAATAAATAAAATCTTTAAAAAAAAAGAAAATTTATCTCAATAAAACTGATTTTTTTTAAAAAAGAAGAAACAGTATATGAACTAAGAAAGAATGAGAGGAATCTTTCTTTCTCTTAAGCATTTGTTCTCTCTGTCCTCTGCCCCTAGGGCTTTCCAGGACCAGAGTTTATAAACTAAGTAAAAACATTACCAAAACTCCAATGGGGAAATTTCCTTATTAAATAGTTCAGTGAATTCAAAAAATATGTATTGAGCACCAGCTATATATTAGGCACTATAAGAATCACCAGGGATAACCTGCTGAACCTGACCCCTGACTCCTGCTCTTCTGCAGGGAGGTGGGGGCAGGGGCAGGAAGCTCACCTTGTCCTTGGAAGCCACTTGCTAGAGAGAATCCCTGTAAAGACTGACTTGTTTCATCTGGATCACATGTCTCTAAACTAAAACCTAAGTAAAACTCTCCATAGACCTTCTAACCAGCAGCCCTGGCTTGCCAGTTACCTTGCAAAAGGCGCCAGACATGATCCCAAGTTGCTTTTCCTTACTTTAGAGGATGCAGCAAGACTTCCTCCAGGGTTCCTGGCCTTCTCAATTGTCCTTACAGTGGATCCCACCAGAGTGGTTCTTTCGTCTTTCCTATTCTGTCTTTTCTCTTTATTTGTTGTTTCTTTCCTCTTGTAATCTTTCCATTATCTATGGGAAGGATTCTTGTTTAAATAGGCTTTACCCACTAGAGTGTCTTAGGAAGGCAAGACAGACAAGAGATGTGTCTTCTAGAAGAGGAATTTGGAGGATTAAAGATGGGCTGTAGCCAAACGAAAAGATAGACCTAGCTTCTGTGGTGCCTTCCTTATTCTACATGCCCCTTTCTGTATCCACACACTTTGCCATGTGACCTTGCAGTTTTCAACTAGATGCCTATGACTTATCCACCCCATTAATGTTAGACTGTAGCACTTGCTTTGGCCAATGGGATTTAGGAGATGTGATATGAGCAAAGGCTTGAAATATGCTTTTGAGGATGGGCTTTCCCCCTTGGGTTTCTTGTCATTGCCATGAGATAAACACATCTCAAGGGGCCATATGGGGCGGACCAAGGCCTCATCTCCAGCTTGGAGGATGATCCAACAGAACCCATGCAACTTTGCCAGAACCCAGCCAACCTGCAGACTTGTGAACATGACAATAGATGCTCATTGTTGAATGTTACTGAGCTAGTGGGTCATTTGTTAGATATGATTATGGTAGCAATAGCTGGTTGAGTCATTCATATAGTATTCTTGCTCCTTCCCAGCTGTCGTTGTGAATGTGTGTATAAGAAGGAGAATCACGCTGTAGAATTCTGAAGAATGTTGGTCTTTCAAGACAAACATGGGCTCCCAGAAATTCCCATGTCCACAAGAGGATGCAGTTTGATCCAGGAAGTCTACAAGATAAATCTCTTCAACATGTACAATGAGGCTTGAGACAGGTTGGTTCAACCCCCTCATTTCCCACATCTCTGGGTAAGCATACAAGGCATACAAGGCACCTGTCCTTCTGGATGGTGGGGACACTCTCTCCCCTGAGGACACCCTTGAAGGCAAGAGAGTGCCTCACCTGCTCAGAGGGGCTGTGGCAAAGATGCCTCCCCACAACCCCCAACACGTGTATCCTCAGTGGGGAACAAGTGGGAGAAGCCGGAACCCCACCCCGCCCCCAACAGCATGAGGACCCTCGTCCCTTCTCTGCGACTGAGGGGCTTTCTCCCAGGGCTACATCAGGGGTTCCCATAGGTGCCCAGGTGCTGAGGTCTGGGGTGCGGGGATTTTTGTCATACAGAGGGACCTATAGGGACATCCAAAATTGTGTGAGCCAGGCCTATGATCCATCAAGTTCAGTGTTCCGTTCTGTCTTTAAAACAATAGAAAGTTCTGTATTGGGGTTTTGTTTTTGTTTTTTTGTGAGAGCACAGAATGGCCCTCCAGAATGTCAGCGTCGGAGAGTTGGCAAAGCTAACCTTTATTGGGTAACCTTTATTGGGTACTTACTATAGGCTAGAGAACCAAGCTAAGCAATCCCTAGACACTCAGTAACATAACACTTACTATTCAATAGCATCCTCCCACCCTCTTTTTCTTGTAAGCAAACCTGTATTTGATTCAGATGCTTGAGGAAGGTGGCTCCATCCTCTTCCCAGGGAATAAACTATTATCGGTCTATTCGTCTAAACCAGTTATAGAATCCCATTCTCCTTTGTCTTTGATTGGTTTAGGAGATGGTTAAGAGACCCAAATCTGGCCAATGAATTAAAAAGATAGGGCTGTAGGGAAGCATTTCTCTCCCCCAAACTCTCTCTCTCTTGCAGTGCATTGTTGTGTAAAGAGAGTGGCCAAGCAGAAATATGCAAATATGGCCCTTCCTGAGCTTGTTAATTCTTTTATCATTTCTAGATTTCCTGATAAGTGAGGTAATAAGTGTCTTTATTGCTTAAGCCATATTGTTATTCCCAGATGATCTAGTGGACAATATTATTATCCCCGACTTTACTAACTGCGAAGTTGAGTCTTGGAGGGATGAATTAACCTGGTCAAGGTCGCACAAATTAGAAGTGAGACTGAGACCAAAGAACGCCAACTTTAGAACTTGCCCCTTCACCGCCATGCTAGTCACTTCTAGAACCTACAACTCAGATCTGAGCAATTTCTCCCTGCTTTCAACCACAATATGGTATAAATATTCCCAATTTCCCTAGAAAACTATGGTGTGTCACCCGAGTCTCTTATAATTCACTTCTGGCCTGCCATCATGGGCAGAACAGGTGTTTTAATTTGAACAGACAGACTTTCTAGCAGCCAGTTCTACCAACTGCTAGCTGTGTGTCCTTGGGAAAGTCTCTTACCCATTGGAATATTTCCATTATTTATTTCCATACAATAGCCTAATATGGTAATGGGCAAAGAATGGTGGTGATCAAAACTTACTCTGTTCCATACACTGTTGTAAGAGCCATCACACTTTTAGTTCATTAATCCTCACATGAACCCATCACCTGGATTATTATTCTTATCTCTATTGTATAGTGGAGAAAACTGAGTCAGACAAGGGTTAAATGTTAGTCCACA